GCTGAGCTGTCCACTTTCTGTTTCTGATATGTTACTTCTGTGTAACCTTGAGTGTCTTAACCATTTTGTATCTCAATCTCTCATACCTATGAAACAGCAATGACAAGAATGCCTGCATTATGGGCTCGGCAGTTTGCTTTCCATCAAATGCTGAAAACTGTGCTTGTACCCTGGTAAGGATTGCCCACGGATTAGCTACCACCCTCATTACCATCTTTCAGACCATTTTTGCTGTAGGGAAAGAATTTTGCACTGTACGCTCACCCTCCTCTCCCTGGAACCTACACTCCCTAAGGACAGGACAAACACAAGAAAAACGGAGGAAGGGAGCTCAATGTCACAGATAGAAGGGGATGGAAGGCCTGGCAGTGGTTGGGGCAAAGAAACGTCCACTGACATCCTTCCAGAAGACATAGAAGCAAACAAACCATAACGCTAGGGAAGATAGGACATCCAAGAGCTCCTGCGGGAGAGTAGACCAAGGAGAAAAGGTAAGAATAAAGCTGGGGGAGTGATGCTTGTAGGCTGAGGTTCCTGCTGGCTGCTGAGTGCAGGAGAAGGTGGGTTCTAAAGTCATTGCTTGCTGTAGAGAGCCTGGCTTGCCCCACACCTTTCGTTGACTCCATGCAGGAGTGAACCTGAGGAAAAGGAATGTTCTCACTTTTCCCTAACTGTTGGGTTTGAAAGCCATCATTTGTCAGAACTATATTTCTATATATCACATGCATGTGGGGGTGGGGAGGACACAGACACAGACCTGGACTCATCTTGTGATCAGCAAGTGCCTGTGTATCTCCAGGAAGCAGCTGACAAGGGGAATTTTTCTGATGACAACTAGGTGCTTTAGAAATGGAATACTAAATGAGGGCCTGGGCCAAAACAATAGGGGCACATAGAGAATGCATATGCTTTTCGCCAGTATATGAGCTCTTCCTGAAACACCTTTAGTGAGAACTGTTAAATTTTTTAAGTAGAAAATATTTTTTTTATTTTTTAAATTTAAATAAAAAACAATCTTATTTTACATACTAATCCCAGTTCCCTCTCCCTCCCATCCTCCCACTTCCGAAACCATCTCCCCCTCCCACCCCTATCCACTCCTCAGAGAGGATGAGGCTTCTCCTGGGAGATCATCAAAATCTGTCACACCATTTAGGGCAGGACTGAGAGAAACTCTCCATGGGGAAAGGGCTCCAAAAAGTCAGTTTGTGCACTAGTGATAAATACTGATTCCACTGCCAGTGGCCCCATAGACTTCCCAATCCCCCCTCAACTAACACCAATGTTCAGGGGGCCTAGTTTGGTCTTATGCAGGTTGCCCAGCTGTCAGTCTGGAGTCCATGAGCTCCCACTAACTCAGGTCAGCTGTTTCTGTGGGTTTCCTCAGCATGATCTTGACCCCTTTGAGAGCTGTTCATTTTTAAACTGACTTTTCAATAGAAATACAACCCACTATGGGTTACTTGCTAGGTGGTGGATAGAAAACTCTTCCCCAGGAAGCTCAAAGCTGCTGCAATTTGGCTGCTTTTTGGAAGAACAATTATGGAAATCAGTAGCTCAATTAAAAGCCTCCTAAATGGATGGTCAGAAAGTTGTTTTCCTGGGAAGCCTTGGAGAAGTCCAGTAGGTGACCAGGATCTGGTTGTCCAAAAACTCTACAGTCCTGCTGTGCTGGCCTGCCCCGAGCCTGCAAAGCAAAGTGAAGCCGAGCAATGACCTAAAAATACATCAACTAAATAAGTGTGTTGTGAGGAAATTCCAAGCTTTATTAAATGCACTTTTGGTGAAAGGGGCCCTACAGAGAATTTGTTAATAAATTTCAAAGAGAGATGTTGGTCACTGGAGGAGCCTACATAAGCAACCGTGGCATCTGTGGAATGTCAAGCTGCAGATGGCCTGAGGCAATGATCTGGCTAGCACCACAGTTGGTCTTCTTAGGGTGGATCAAGGTCTCTGACAATAGGGTTGGCTCAAGTTCCATGAGTATCAAGGATGCTCCAGCTTAGAAAGAGCATGAGAGCAAAGCCATTCCAAGGGTCTCCAGGCTGCAGCCAGAAGAGACACTGTCCTTATTTCAAACACCTTGGTAACTCATTCCAAAGCCCCACAACACCCACATTCAGGAAATTCTTCTTAATGTTTAGCCTAAATCCTTCATGCTTCAGTGTAAACTCATTACCTCTCATTGTGTTTAAAGCAGAAATGGGGAACAGCTGGTCTCTCCCACTGGCTCAAACACTCAAGCTCTTTCATTTCATCCCCCTAAATCTTCTGCTCTCCAGAACAACACTCCAAATCTGAGAACATTTCTCCATGGCCTACCCAGACCACAGAGGCTGAGCATGTCCCAAGGGCTTCCTTTAACTCAAGACATCGACACAAGGTACTGTGTCACTCTTCTATCTTGAGTACCACCCATTGGTTGGGGGAGATGGAGGCCTGGAACTAACATAGACATCCTTCCAGAAGTTGAAGGAGATGCCCACCACCAGTAGATCCCAGCATCACCTATCATCCTTTTTGCTATGCAGGTGCACAGTATCCTTTATTAGTGATTCCAGAACAGAACCTGTGTCACATGCTTTATATTCAGACCATCTCATTTAGGCTGGGTTCAAGACAGGGTTTCTCTGTGTAGTCCTGGCTGCCCTAGAACTCACTCTGTAGACCAGACTGACCTCAAACTCAGAGATTCCCTGCCTCTTTCTCCCAAGTGCAGGGATTAAAGGTGTGTTGTGAGTCACCATGCCTGATAGTTTATCTTTTAATTCATGGGTAAAGACATGGCTTGGAGACTCCAGGACTAACAAATGACTGAGATTTGAACTGAGAGTTGTCTGACACAGGTAACTGTGACACAGAGCTCCTACCCCAATATCAGGCTAAGATCTGCTTCTTGCACTACCAAGTCTGGGATGCCTGAGACAGCCAGAAGACACAGGGTCCCTTTTCCACAGTTCTACTGAGGGAGAGACTTCTAAGTTGTGTGTATCTGTGTTCACATGTGTGTGTTCCTATGGGGTCAGAGGAGAGCTCAGGTGTCGGTCTTGCCTTCAACGTTGCTGTTCCCTTATGCCAGCTGGCTCTCAAGCTTCCAGAATTCTCCTGTCCCCACTCCCATTTGCTGTAGGAACACTTAGATTACAGACACTGCTGCTCCCAGCTTTCTGTGAGTTCTAGGGACTCAAAGTACCCACTGAGATTTCTTTCCAGCCCTCTTTCTAATCCCTGCTCACCCACCCCCAAGCAGGCTAAGATTTAATAACTCTTAAAACTTTTATTTTTTCAGAGATGTCATTAAAAAGCAATTCAAGCTGGTTATGTTGAGGTGATCTTGTAATCCTAGCACTCTAAGGTGGGGTAGGATGATTCTTACTTCAAGGTCAGTCTGGGCTACACAAAGAGACTGAGGGAGAAGGGAACAAAGTAAGTAGGAAGAGTGAGTGAGCTGCCCAAGACCACAGCTTCTTATTCCCTGAGGACATTTGGACAGAGAAGAGTGGAAGGAAGCGTCGTCCCCCCACTCCCCCAGGGGCAGACAAACAAGGTCAAGAAGGGAGAAGGAGATGATCCGAGGACCTTGCTGGACTCCGTGGGCCCATTTGACAGACTCCCAGTTCTGGGCTCCTCCCTTCCAGAAGGGGCTGTTTCCTTGCTCCAATCAAGTTGGTGCTTCCCCTTCTCCCTGCTTGGGTCTTCTTTTTTTCCTGACAGTCAATTCTTCCTGGTCTCACAGAATGACCTTGGAAAACCCCTAGCTAACTACCCAAAGACCTATCACAAGGCTGCATCTGAAAACAAACAAACAGTAAGCAACCAAGATTTTTAAAAAGTCTCAATCAGACTGTGAGCTATTAAGGACTGGGAGCAGGCGTGGTCTTCAAGAAGAGAGTGGGTCAGAGGTCTTCTGCTGTCACAATGGATTAATCCATTACAGGTTAATGAGTTAACTGTGTTCATTTGGAATCTCTAGTTTGCTCCTGCACAATCCAGAAAAAAATTATACAGAATTATACCATAAAGAGTCCCACTAGCAGGTTCTACTCTCTCCAAACCCCACCCACTCAGAGAGTCTTCAAACAAAGAAAAGGCACCAAAAAGCCCAGTTCTGCATTCTTGGTGACTATGGCAACTTCCTCCCCTGTTGCCACAAGCTGACCAAGTTCCCAGCTAAAGCGCTCAGTCTTTGACCAAACTTAGGCACAAACCCAGCTTGTGGAGGACATGTCAACACCCCTTGCCTAAAACCAATAAAGTCTCCCTGCTTTAGTTTGGGGGTATGGCTCCAACCAGCCTCGATCTCTTGGACTGGACAGCTCACATGGGAGTTACTTTGCTGAAATAAACTTGTTATACCTTTTCAATTTGGCTTGCTCTGGCTTACTGTGTCAGCAGAGAAACTCATTATGTGTGTGTGAGGGGGGGGGCACAGAAAACCGATTAATCTGTAGTGGGTGTGTTAAAAAGGCCAGAGGGGCTTTTCCTTGTACAAACTGCTCTCCTATCTGACTTTACATTTCCTTGGGATTCTGCAGAATCCCCAGCAGCAAGAAGATTATCATCTGATGTGTCCCCTTCACCTTGGACCTCTGAGCACCCAGAACTGTGATAATTGTGATGGTTAGTTTTAAATGTCAACTTGCTATAGCCTAGAGTCTCCTGGGAAGAGAGCCTGAATGGGGATTGCCAAGAGCAGGTTGTCTTTGGGCATGCCCATGGAGATTATCATGATTATTTTAAAGTAGAAACTCAGCCCACTGTAGGCGGCATCATTACATAGGCTGGGCCTTGAACTGTGTAGAGCGAGGAAAGCTGGCTGAGTGAGAGCAGCAAGCAGAGGGCACACAAGGGCATTTGTTCCTCTCTGCTCCTGACTGAGACGCGGCATGTGCCGCTGTTTGAGATCCTGCCTTGATTTCCCCTCAAGGACTGCAAGCCAAATAAAACCTTCCCTCCCCAAACTTGCTTTTTGTCAGAACATTTTTTCACAGCAACGAAAATAAATCTTTATATTCTCTCAGACATTTTATTGTAGCAAAAGGGCCCAAGAGATGCTCCATGATCTTTGTATTCATTTTCTGTTAGTTCTTGACCTGTTCTAATGTAGAAACTTGAGCTTTATTTCATATTTTCTACACCCAGTGCAGTGTGTGTGTACATGTGCAAACACACGTGCGCGCGCACACACACACACACACACACACACACACACACACACACACAAAGTATTTCAGTTCCCAAATTAAAATTTTTTCAGAGACAAAAAACAAGTCTCTCTATGTAAAGGTTATGCTAGCCACCCCTACTTCCAGCACCCAGCTGGTCTCAAAGCACTCCACAGTCAGACCATAAAGAAGCTTAACATGTGACCTTGGACAAGTCACTTGTGTTCTCTGAGAGATGAAGAGTGTTGGTCTGGCTAATATCTGAGGCCTTTCCAGTCCTAGGTTTCCTTAATTCTGTGACTATCTATAGACTTATCTAAATAATCACAAAGACTACTTCATGCTAGAGAAACACAGTCATAATAAACTAAAGCAAAACCAAATGCCCTTCAGTATCCTGTTGTGAACTATAAAATGTCCCTAAAATTACATTTTCCCCTTGAAACAGGATGTAGGAAAAATATTTTCCTATTAAATCCTTTTAAAGTGCAAGGGAAAGCATTTATTCTGTGATTCGCCATCCAACTCAATAAAAAAAAGAGAGGGTTCGGTTGTCTTAATTCCAGAAGACACTGTCAAACGGCAGAGGTGGAAACTCAAGCTGGAAACCCCACTGCCCCACCAGCAGCACAGTGCATGAGTTTTCTGGGGGGACTCTTCAAGGTTATCTTGAGCAGTTTATTCTGCTATTATGTCAGGGGAACCAGTAAATACGTTTTTATGAGGTGATTTATGAAACTCCTGGGGTGGAGAAAGCGAGAGCTAGGAAGAGGTCACTCCAACTTTCAAGTCTGTAGGGGCAAGGAGAGGAGTTATGTACTCTGACAAGGAGCAAGCAAAGCAGGATTTGGGCCTGAAGAGTGGGAGAATGGGCCAGAAACTTCAGGAAAATGTTACCTTGTACTTGGGGCATCTAAAAGTTTCTAGATTAAGCCTTTTGGAGGACAGGGGTACTTGTTTCCTCAGTTTTGTAGAAACTAGATCATTGTACACATGGGGGATGGCAGGAGCAGATAGGCATGCTTTCAAATTGTATCATAAAGATGTTGTGCTGCACACGGTGCAGAGGAAACAACACAGACATGTTTCTGTGGCTCAGCATACATGCACTTCCCAAGACCGTTTGTCCTGTGTTAACCCCTCCCTCCCAGCCCAGATGCCCTTAGAGGAGCACAAGGCCAACACCAGCAGAGACTAACAGACGCAGCATTTCCAGCATTGCCTGAGTCCAGACACTCACTGAGGGAAAGGGGCAAGGGATAACAACGAGAAGCAGACATTGAGAATGCCAGCAGGGCTGACCATCCCACAGAAGGGTGAGTCTAAGTTCTAGGGAGACCTAATGCTTTTGTCTTCCCCTGATTCTCCCTAATAACCTTCTAACAAGAGATGAGAAGGGAAATATTTTTAAGGTGGTAATCTGCCATCTGATCTCAATAAAGAACATTTTTGAAGACCCGATTCCACTTCTGCTCACTGACATCTGTAAGTGGCAGGCAGCGACGAGTTCTGGTATTTCAGTAACGGACAGAGAGCAGGCCCACAAATCCTGTTCAAGAAAGAAAGAAAAAAAGAGTAGATGGATTTATGTTCACCCAGGATGACACAAGTGGGTTCTACCAGCTGACAATCACCCCCCCCCCATTTCTGTTGCAGCAGAATAAGGGCACTTCCAAAGATGTTCTGAGTCCCACCTTCCAACTATCTGGACATGTGTGCTGCATAGCATTGAGGTTACATATGTAATTAAGGCTGCTGATTAATAAGTGTCTTTGTCAGTTTTCTGTTATTATAACAAACATCTGACCTAATCATCTTAGGGGCGGGGGTTGGGGGGAAGGGTTCATTTGGCCTCACAGATTTGGAGTCCTAGTCTACAATAAACTGGCTTGTCATTTTGTGTGATTTGTGAAACTGAGTGTCTCAGCAAAACTGCTCACCTCAACATAGAACAAAGAGAGAAAGACGAAGAGACTGGAGTTCTCTTTTAAGGCACAACCCCAGTAACCTGTACACCTCCCGCCATAGCCCTTTTTATGACTTCCCAACAGTGTCAGACTGGAGGCTAAGCTTTTACTTTATGGGACTGTAGGAGAAGTCGGCAGAATGCACTCTTTTCAAGGCCAAAGCAAGAAGTTCCAAGTTGAGTTGCTTAGAAGTGGTGATCCAATCAACTTCCACAGATTTGAAAATGAGATCCCATGGGTGCTGCCCCACAACCAGATGGCAACTTCCAGAAAGGGTGAAGAATGCTTAGGAGTGGTCCTTGCTCAGAGAAGTCATGGTGGTAGGCAGTGTTCCTGACTTTTAAGGGGAAGCTTGGGGGAAGTATCTGCCCAGTCAAACAGCTAGTTATTTAGTTGGGATTCAAACTCAACAAGTGGTTCTGTCTCTGGTGCCTTGCGTCGGTTTCTCCTTCCAATACGTCATCCTCTGGCAATTGTTTTCTGGATTTCTAAGGTTGTTTCAATGCCCCAGAAAAATTGACTAGCTATTAAAATCCGTGAGCCTCCTGCTGTCCAGAGAGAAGAAAAGCAAGTATGTGATCCTATGGCTGCTGGCCAGCCAAGTCTCAGTGTCTGGGGTCTATGGCTTCAACAGAGGATGCTAGCTACAACAGTGCTTCTCTTGGGCTCTTCTGAAGACTTTTGTTCACCAGGGCCCACATATGCAGGCTGACAGTCCAAAGATAGTTTGATGAGGAAGCTTGCTACAACCAGGCTCTTGAACATACTCAATGTGTCATTCCAGGGCCATATGGGTAGGTTTTGAGTAGAGTTACAAAGAGAAAATACAGTGGGGCATTACCTGTGATCTGAATTCTGCCAGTGACAGGTTTAGTTGGGATAATTTCAGGATAAGTCAGTAACCCTATGGTGATTGCCTGAGACATGGCAGAATTCAGATCACAGGTAATGAATGCCCCAACACATTTGCTCTTTGTAACTCTATCTCAAAACCCACCCATACGGCCCTGGGATGGCAAATTGAGTATGTTCAAGAGCTTGGGTGTAGCAAGTTTTCTTGTTGGACTATCTTTGAGCTGCTAGCCCACAAATAATGACCCAAATACTTATTAGTAATGAAAGCTCAGCCTTAGCATAGGCTTAATCCTAACTAGTTCTATACCTATTAGTCCACGTTATTTTTCGTGGCTGGGTTACCTTTACTTGCTCTGCACTTCCCATCCTGCTTCCTTTGTGTCTGGTTCTTGACCCACCTTTCTTCCTCCCAGCATTCTCTCTCTGCCCAGAAGTCTCGCCTATCTCTCATGCCTTGCTACTGGCTTTTCAGCCTTCTGTTACGCCAGTCACAGCAACACATCATCACATTGTACAAATATCCACAACACCTGGGTCCTGTTTTATCCCTGTGAGGAGACCCTTGCAGTAGAGTGTCTGCTTGATCAGTGCTACTGCTCTGGGACTGGCTCACCTCCTCACCTCCAATTCTGGGGAAAGCTTGTCATTCACTGACCTCTGGAGTGGCTGTGAAAATGTGGCAAGCATCTCTTCTTTCAAAATGGAACATCTTTCCAGGTTGACAAGCCCTACTTCAGATATTACAGGCTGCTGATAGAACTTGTAAACAAATCCTCTTACATTAAAGAAATGCATTAAAGGAGAAGCTGTCAGTAAGAGCTGAGACACATGTTTTGAGTAATGCATGGGCCATGTGCTGTTGGTCACTGGATGCCCTAGTCACTGCATATTCAATGAAAGGTACCCTTGTTGGCATCCTTTCTTAAGATTAGGCTCATTCTCTTTCTAGCCTTCCTTTGAGGATGGATGGGGGTCCTGGTCAGATGCAATTCTCTGAGAATGGAGGATTGTAGGGAGATCAAACAGACAGGGGAAAAAGAGAACACAAAGGCAGGTAGCTGCAGGATTTAAAGTCAAGAAAGACACAGACTGAAGGCAGCTGGAGATGACTTGTCTGCAGGGAATGAGTGCCCAAACAGAGACAGAGGACCAAAAGACCCTCAAACTAAATGAGGCAGGCACAGAAGACACCAGAAAATGGAGGGAGGGTGGGAAGGAAAGAGAATTATGGCATCCATTTGTTTCCTGGGGTTTCAGTAACAGATGACAACAAATTTGGTGATTTAAAACAACAGACTTTTATTTCCCACAGTCCTGGAGGGAGATCAAAGCGTTCGCAAACCACACATCCTTCTGAAGCTCTCAAGGAAAAATGGTCCCTTGCTTCTTTCACTCCTGGTGACTGTCAGCATTTCTAGGCATGGGGCTACATCTGTCTGTTATCTGCCTGTGCCTTCACATTCTCTTGTCTCATCTTTTATATAGTTACGGACTTTAGACCCTTTGGTGTCATTCAGAGTATTCTGCTTAAGACCTGTAACTTAGCTATATTTACAGATCCTGTTTTCAAGTAAATTTTGGGTTCTAATGCCCACTAGATATCCTGTTCATCGAATATAGGGCCCAAGAAAAACCTAGAAAGGGACATAGTTCTTGAGTGCCCATCATTTAACTCATTACAGGGTGGGAGAAATCCAAAGCACAATGAAACAAGTCAGAAGGTCAAGACAAGTGGCCTTTTCTGTGGAATGTGCCAAGGGTTTTATGTTTTATGTACTCACCACCACTTAAGGTTGTAAGTCTGTCTGAAGTTCACTTGGGTCCCATCTCCACTACAGCATTCTCTGCTTTTACAGATCCATACAGAAACCTTGGGGACCCATTCCCACCTCTCTAACCACACCCAGCTGCATCAAGCACATGGCTCACAAGAGGGCAACACCCACATACTAAAATATTTTCTGGAGCTCGGTGTTCCTCCCACATAAAACCCCTTCCCACTTATCTACTCTCTAATTTCCTGGACCCTCCGAGAGCCTGGCTTCCTCTTCATTCTCCTAAATCCACTCCCCCACTTTGTTATGCAAGGCAATTTAATTCTCTTTCCATTTATTCTGCCCCAGGCTTACCTTTGCATAGCCAAAGATTCATTAATGTCTCCATAAAACAAAGCACCATTTATGCAAGATGCAAGGCAGAATCATTGGCATAGATTTTGTTCTCTCTCTCTCTTTCTCTCTCTTTCTCTCTCTGTCTCTCTCTGTCTCTGTCTCTGTCTCTCTCTGTCTCTCTCTGTCTCTCTCTGTCTCTCTCTCTCTCTCTTTCCTCTCTCATGACCTCCTCCTCTTCCTCCTCAAGTTGTATGGACATTTTTCTTCAGGAATGATGAAGTGGCTATGCTTAATTCTTTTTGTTATATGCATATTTCCTTTTCATATATTTCTTCCAAATATGCCTTTAAAATGGGTTTTCAAACACTTGTTCTCAGAAAAATTATGCAGGGCTTTAAACAATTTTTGTTGGCGTCAATATTTATCTATTGATAGTTACTATATTAGAAATAAAATGGACAACTTAGAAATATTTATCCACCTAAAATAATCAGGGTAAATCTATTACATATTAGCATAAACATATTCATAGAGGAAATAGTTTTCAAAACAATAAAGGACTCGGTAAGAAGAATGGGCACTTGCATGTTTGTAATTCTCTTTTAAGTCTGGCTTAATAGAAGACAGCTGCTCTGCATTTAGCCTATTGTAAGATCAGTGTCTCTGGAAAACTCAGCCACACAACTGATTAGGACATGCAAGTGCAAAGGCAAATATGATCCCAGGGTTAGTACGAGACTAGCTTTCCATCACCGACTGTTAAAAGCCGCATTTTAACACACATCATAGTTGGGTTTCCTTCCTAAGGAAAACAAAAAACAGAAAAGTCCATATTGAATTGAAACTGAACCACAGGGTCACACCCCTGGACAAGAAACTACTGAACTCCAGGCATCTATGACTGATGAGAGAGGGAGAGTTAGCATATCCAAGGGATGGACCCACTAATTGGTTGTCCAATACAAAGTGATTACCCAACCATAGACACACAAACAACAACAACAACAAAAAAAAACAGACTCAGCAGGTTGGGCTTATATATCCATGGGTACTTATACATATATGTAATATTAATAATCCAGGAAGAAGAGGCTATCAATGTGTGACTGAATAGGGGAATGAGGAAGGAGTTGGAGGGAGAGGAATTGAGGGGGCTGGAAGGGGAAAAGGGAAGCATGAAGGGAAGGGCCGAGGGAACATGGTATAATTGTATTTTAGTTAAAAGTGTATACAAAACTAAATGAACCATGAGCCAAGCTTTCAGAAAAATCTAGTCAACTTAAGTAACTCTCTTTCTTCCCCCTTCCTCCTATCCCTATAACTGTGATTCAAGAGGGCACTTTTCAAAACTACATATTGAGGATGAGCATACTATTCAGGATCAAGGCCAGTCTGTCTCATTTTTGTCTGACTCCGATACATTGCTGCAAGCTCTCATAATCTCTGCTCTAAGCCTCTTCAGCATTATATGTAAGAAGACTGAGAACAACCATATTATCAACAACGGCAATGTCTAATGGCCACGTAGTAAGAGTCAAACAACAGGAAAACGTTTTACATGCGTCTTCTGTTTTAATCTCTGTGTATTCCAAGAAAGGCACTGGATTCGTTTTACGAAATAGCTGAAGGTTGGAGAAAAAAGCCCTCTGACCTCTAACTCTGTTTCTTGTACACTTACCCAGTCCTAGCTCTCGTACCCAGATGGTTGGTCATCGTTCATTGCTGCTCAAAGGGGAACCCTTGACACCAAAGGTCAAAGGTGGTACTCCTCGCACCTGTCAATCAAACCGCCTGCCTTCTAAAGAATCGTAATGGAGCACTTTTTCTGGTTCATGACACTGTCGTCCCTTGAACCCCAGTTCTAAAAGCACCGGGAAGTTTCCGAGCGTCTGAGCTTGCCGGTTTGCAGCGAGGGGAAACAGGTGCGGGGACACTCAGTGTTTCCCTCCTTCTGGAGTGGAGATTCCGTGGTGGGAGCTGAGCCGGGAACCTTTCTTCACTCGCCGTGGTTCAAGGGTGGAGAGCGGAACTTTTCTTCTCTGCTCACAGTTCCCGGGCGGAAGCGTGCAAAAAGAGGAACGTCCCTCAGCGACCGGGCTCTTGCCGGGGTCGCCTGCTGCTGACGTGTGCCGACCGGCTTCTGGCTGAGGCGTGGGTCGCTATGGCGGTGGACATCACACTCCTCTTCCGGGCAAGCGTCAAGACAGTGAAGACACGGAACAAGGCTCTGGGAGTGGCGGTGGGTGGCGGGGCCGATGGCAGCCGGGATGAACTGTTCCGCCGAAGCCCTCGGCCCAAGGGAGACTTCTCCAGCCGGGCCCGTGAAGTGGTAAGCTGGTTGCTATGGAAACGCCGAGCGGGAGATGGGGGCGGATCCGCACCCGGGACCCTGGACCCCGAACTCGACCCAGTCTTGTAAGCCCCGAGTGAAGAGAGGGAGTCTTTCGCGAGACAGAAGAGTCGGTCTCACGCAGCCGACAGCTGGCTAGGGGCAGCGACAGGTTTATTCTAAGGAAAGAGGGACGCGTATCCGAGCACGGTAGGAAGCAAGACTTAGAGACGCTTGGTTGTCCATGTAATTAGGAAGTTGATGGCTAAGTTGAGGCAGTGAGTTCGCTGTCACTGCTGACTTGAGTGCCAGTGAAAAGTTCTCACAGTCCTTCGCTTCCTGTTGCAACGTTCAGCACTCTACCTTTGCCCTTTTAATGTGCATGCGTGGGCCTCCTCTTGCACATAGGGTTTAAGATGCACGCTCAGCTGAACTCCCTTTATATTTGAAACAGACTTTAAAAACATCATTGGCAGCCGGGCGGTGGTGGCGCACGCCTTTAATCCCAGTTCTTGAGAGTCAGAGGCAGGCAGATCTCTGAGTTCGAGGCCAGCCTAGTCTACAGAGTGAGTTCCAGGACATCTGGGATTACACAGACAAAAACAATCAAAACAAAAGAACAACAAAACTCCATTGGCTTCATCATATATATCATACATCACATTTCTTATTATCCCTGTGTCACATTGAAGGGGACATGTCTGTTTGAAGTGAGAGGAAGGGAAAATAAGGTGTCCTCACTCCCTGCCCTGAGTCTGGCTAAACCGTTGTGGAGGTTGCTCTCAAACTGTGTGTGGACATCACAGTTTTGATGTGTGAAGGCCCTTCCTGAAACTGGTGGTTTATTATTAACACCGCACAGATTTTCAGTCCTCAGGAATAGGGGATTTGGGAACAGTAGCATTAAGAAGCACAGTTCAGCTAGCAGCCCTGTGGGGAGAGAGCTTTGCTATCAGTTGGACTGCTCCCTAAGTGTTGAAAATGCATTTTCAATTATTTTCATTTAAGAGCCTCAGGGATGACAATTCTTTGAAGGTTCAGGCAGCCTCAGGGGTGGAAAGACGGCAGCACATCTGCGTTAAAGGGGAAGTATCAGCAATGGCAAACAGTCGAACCTATGCATGTATTCTCACATGCTGCTTCTGACCACAGAAGCCAACACTCATTTCCCTGTAGATCCTGTGGTTCAGAACCCCTCAACTCTGTGCCCTAAGAGTCATTACCAACTGCTGGGCTTGACGTTAAGTTGAAATCTGCTTGATGTCCTACCCAGCAAATGGTTAAAAATTGATTGCATACCTAAACAGAACCTAGACTTTTCAGAACAAGACTTTTAAAGGGCCTGGAATTCATCTTGTTCAGACTAATCGTCTTTATAGGTGGGAAGACAACACTCAGACAAGTTAAGTGACTGGCCCCAAGTCTTTGCAACTGAGGTCATGTCCGAGAGCTGGAGGTAGAAGTCAGCCTTGCTTTGCTAGTTTTGTGGTTTTCTTCCTCTGGTTTTGTATCTTAGATACCCACCTGAAATTTTAAAGGATTTATTTTTATTTATGTCTGAGTGACTGTGTGCCATGTATGTGGGGGTGCCCATGTCAGAAGAGGACATCAGATCCCCTGGAGCTAGAGTTATAGGCGACTGTAAGCCAACTGACATGGATACTGGTACCTGAACTTGGATTGTCTGCAAGAGCTGTAAGCATTCCTAATCACTCTGTCATCATTCACCTCCGCCCCTAATAATTTTAAACAAGGTTTTTGGAGTTTTCAGTGTCAGAGTTTTTTTCTTCTTGCGAGTTCATAGTGCATGGGACTTGGAGCAGAAGGGCTTGGATTTGAATTCTTTCTGGCTGTGTGAGATTGAGAAGTTACTTAACTTCAGTTACCTTTTTTTTTTCTAAGAATAATCACCACTTTAGAAGGTCACTTGATGGTGACAAATGGTGTGCAAGTGCTTGTGAGAGTCTGAATTCTTTGCTTACAAGTAATAGTAATTTACGAACCACCCAGTGTTGCTGGAATTCTTTCAGCCAATAGTCTTTGAGGTAATGGCCCCTTTGGGGCAGGGTCTCAGGGACTACATATGGATCGGGAGCAAGTTCTTATTCTCTCTTGGGTGGTGGTCAGAAGGCGGATGGCAGAATCCATGGGCTAAGGGCAGAAGACCTCGGTGGCTCTCTACCTTGCTTTGTCATTTGTGAGTCATTCTGCAATAAATACCTGTCTTCCCTTTATCCAGGCTTTTGTGGACTCTATTATAATTTTCCATTACAATCAAAACCAGAATATGTGTGTTGGCTCACATAGTTATGGCTTGGTGTGTCTTTCTGTAGCTCTCATCCACAAAACTCCAGGGGTGAACCTGTTCTTTCTTGAACCCCCAAACGTTTGTTGTGTTCTCAGGAATAATGTTCTTTAGTTGGCTAGGCCACATGTCCGTTGCAGTCTGTGGCCAGTAGGTGACTTGGATATTCTGATTACAGCCCCATCAGAACCTTGGAAGGGGAGTGCTGTGTTCAGGATGGGGACAAAGGGTGGGCAAATGCATATGTAACGGTGCCGGACACACCTGACATTACTGAGCACACTGTGTATCCACCCATTGCTTGTCTATTGAGAGGTGCTTCCGCCTTACCTGCTTGTTGTCTTGAATGACTTTGGGAATGGGCTGGGCCTAGAGATGCTGTGTGGTGATAGCTCTTCTTCCTTGTTAACTTAATAGAGGGTACGGAGACCAAGGGAGCTACTACCCATACCCAGAGCCTAGTGAGCAACCCAGCTGCATATCCAGAGCAGGAGCTCCCGAGTAGCACAGATTCAGAAGCCAGGAAAACCCCGTTAACACTAGATCTGCCAGGAAGTCACTGCAACCTCTCAGGCCCAGTTACCACATTAACAAGACTGAGAGCTTAGACTAAATAATCATGGGAACTTCTGATAAATCACAGATGTTTTAATTCCAAGTAAGGTTATAGTGATTCTGAGTTGTTGAGAAACCTCCTTCCTTCACACAAGATTAGGCAAACAATGAAGTTTTGTTTTTTTAATTATATCTTGATTTTGTGAAAGTTGAATTTTATTTGTTGGTTTATTGTTCATGTATCCATCCTTAAGAATTCATTAGCTTCAGTTCTTGGCTGAAATCCAAAGTTCTTTTTAAAAGTATTTATTTTACTAAGTGTGTGTGTGTGTGTGTGTGTGTGTGTGTGTGCGTGCATTCACGCACGTGTGCATATGGAGGCCAAAGTGGTTGTCAGATCTTCAGGATTGGAATTACAGGTGGTTGTTAGCTGCCTGGTGTGGGTGCTGGGAATCAAACTCAGGTCCTCTGAAAGAACAGCAAGTGATTTTAACTGTCAAGCCATCTCTGTAGCCCCCTAAAGTTCTTAGAGTGTCCCCAAACCAGGTGATTTGGCCTCATCACCTCTCTGTCCTCACTTCTCACATGCCCCCCCTTGCATTCTTCTGCTGCCATCCTGTCATCTTTGCTGTCCTCTCACCAGGCACCTTCCTACCTCAGGGTCTGCATCTGTTGCTTCCTTTACATGGAACACTGCTCCCAGAATCCACACAGATTGATCTCTGTTAACTTAAAGTGGCTCAGATGTTTCCTAAATGAGGCCTGTTTATATAAAGTGGCATCCTTTTTCTCTTCCTTGTAATGTTTTGTTTTCATTGCTAACAGATTGTGTATAGTTTACTTAGTTTATCTACTTGACTAAGGGCTCCCTAGAAAAGAAAACTGCTCTGTACTGAATCCATAGCTTCTAGAACTGTGCAGGAATATAGGTTTGCAGTGCATATCTCTTGAATTAGTAAGTGCTAATTGACTGTATCTCTTTGCTTTCACTTATGGGGCTATCCAGGCATCCTTCTAGTTCTAAAAATGTGCAGCCCTAGTAGGTCTCTTGACTATTTCAGATGTAGATTTATACTGAGCCCAGCATCTGTTATAAATAGTAGCTTTAAGTTTTATTAATGAGGTTCAGGCCTTCTCTTAAGGAGAAGCAGACACAGTGCAGTTTGGGGGTGACTGACAAGTGTAACTCTCCAGCACCAATTCCTCAGGTCTTCTTTGATTTCCCTCTGAGAGGCCCCAGTATTAGAGCCCAGTAAGTGAGCTGGAACCACCTGGATTGTTATCTGGAGGGGCTGGAAATAGATTTTGCCCAGAAATTGGCTGTAATCCTAGTTGAACATGGGTTTCAGTGAGGGAACACATTTCAGCATCTGGCAGCAGGTGCAAAGAGCCAGAGAGAAGCAGAGGCAGGAGATGGGGCCAGACTCTGGGAGCAGGGAGGAAAACTGTGCAGCTTATATGACAGCTAGAATCAAAGCAGGGGTGTGTAGAACCACACTGACCTAAAAAATATTAAGGCAGAAACCTTTTTGCAAATGAAGTAAAGGGTGGCTTTGAGGAAAGCTGGGATGGACAGGGATGCAGGAAAGAGACAGTCATTAGCTGGCTTTCTCTTCTGCCTTCCCTTTTCCTTCAGGATCCTCAGGAACCTGGCGTTTTAACTTCACAATGTTGTGTCTGTGCCTTATAACAACAATGTTTCTTGTGTGTAGAGCTCAGTGCCAGAGACTCTTATGAAGTCAGTTGTGAGCTCTTTCTGTGGATTGCCCATCTGGATTTTGCCTAGGACTTAGGAGGACTGCAACTTTTAAGTTTCGTTTTTCAGTAATTGGTTTATTCCATTACCTGATTGAATATTTGATGTGTATCAGGCATTGTGAGGGCACAAAGAACTTTGAAAATACAGATAAAGGATGTCTAAGTCTCCTAGAGGAGAATTAATGAAAACCTCAGAGAGAAAGCAGTAATTTAATTGGGCCATCAGGGTTGAGAAACATCATACCAAAGTTAGAGAGAGATCCCAGTGTGCAGGGAAGTGTGTGAGTGGAGACAGTGAGGCACAGCAGAGCCAGCGGAGCAGAGACAAGACAGGGATGAGAAGGGCTGCTTTTGGGGGGAGACCTGGGTAATGGAGTGGGTC